CGTAGCGCGAAAAAAAAAAAAAAAGAAAAAGAATCGACGAGCTTGATGTGCATATATGCATAGGGGCAAGTGCACGCAGAGGCTACGAACGTAATTAATGAACAACGATGTTCGTGCACGCAGACGATGCTTCGAAATCACGTGATTCGCGGAAACAGCTCACGTGACGATGCTCGTGAAGAAGTTATCTAATTAGTCGACTATCTCGTCTAATCCGGAAGTTCCCTGTCGGATCTTGCGTCCGGATTGTCGATCGAGAATGAATTATTCGCGAGAAAAAGAAAGAAAAAAGAACTCCAATCAAGCGTTTAAATTATTTGCCAAATTACTAGACAACAAACGATACAATTCATCATTGAATTATTATTCAAACTGGGATATCCCGATATTATTTGCAATTGAGAATTTTACGCGCAAACATTGGTGCTACATTGTTACATTCGTTACAAATCATCAGTCGCGTGATTAATTGCGGCGAAGCAATCGTGATCATTAAATCCGTAGTCGCGTAAAGAGCTAAATAATTGATGCTCGTTACGGGTGGTGATAATGAATTGTGATAAACGGTGATAAACAACAAGGCGTAGAAATAGAAAAAAAAAGTTATGAAACGTGATCAACGTTCATCAGGATGATTATATGAAACTAATCGATTCGATATAATGAAACAAATATCGACGAATGGAGAAAAATACTTACGAGAAAATGAACGAGGAGTGGGGGGACGCGTTATCGTTTAATCATCGATCGAACGGCGACGATTCGCGATCAGGCTTAACACGCGGATAGAAACGATGCTCGATAATTCACGAGGACTTTTAATCGACGCCGTAACGTCGCCCACTGTTTGTAATCCGAAGTGTTGTCGTGGCCACGCGGTTGCAACCTGTGCTCGACGTTGACAGGACCATCAATTAGGCGAATTAATTGCGCAACAGAAGTACGCAGGAGACGAAATCGACGGGTTGCACGTTCGGGCAGAATGTCACGCCGGTTATGCGAAATACGGAAGGGGGCGTGATGATGATGATGACGATGATGATGATGATGAAAACGTGTGAGAAAAAGATGAGATGGGAGAGAGTCATCCGAGAGTTATCTCTTTAACGTGTTAACGTCTCTCGACGACGGTGAGATGCATGCAAGCGGAAAGCTTCAATCCTTTTTCTCATGCTGGTGCGTAAGTCAGGGTACCGGAAAGATAATGTGTCCTTCCTGATCGATCAGGTGATAGACACGTTAGACATAATAAGCTTTGAAAAATTGTCTCTGTTCCATCTAAACTCCATTTTACGAAGGGTAGTATTTATACAACGGTACAGGGGGTGGTAGACGATTTGGGAGACGATCGATCCTTTCGCGATTCGACGCTGTGTCACTTCGCGACTCGACAATTTTAATTTGTTTAAATTTGATCGATAGATATTTGGTATTGAACGCAAAAGGATCTATCGCGGATAAGGATAACCTGGTGAAATGATAGGAGGTTTACCTTCCACTGTCAAAACGAAGGCTAAATTCATTTTGGGCTCGGTGTTAACCTGGCATTCGTAAACCCCGGCGTCACGTTGCTGAACGTAATCGATCTTCAACGTCCATTCGTCGGATGCCTCGGGATGCTTCACCGAAAATCTTTCGTCCCCCGTGTACGTATAGATGGACGACGTGAGTATGTGTAAATCCCTTTTACGCATCCAGGATATCTGAAACCAAAATGGCGGGGGGATAAGTATCGTTGGAATTTGAAACGAAAATTCTGGGATCGGTCGACTTTCGCTCCTCCCTGAAACGTCGATATTCCGGGGTTTGATCCTCTTCCTAGCAGGCGCACGGGGAAATCTTCTCCTCGAAACGAGCGAAAAGATTTGTTGCACGCCTGGATCCGATTCAATCGGCCTCGTTTCAACGAAATCACGGCAATTTATCCGCGGCAAAGATTAATGGAGTCGAGAGGAATTCTTTTAATTGCGTAATTTTACGGGCCATGATCGATTCCGTCGAACGTTCAAGATGGTTCTAATAAATTCTCCATAAAATCGCCAACGTCGATCTGCCGCCGACGATCGACGTTTGTTGCCACGGTGCAACGGAGTGACAAATTACGATGACAAAATGGACAACGTAAAATGCAACGTTCAACGTATTTACATATTAAATTCATTATCACTCGTATAATAACGTTTCCAATGATCTATCGATGCATATTGTTATGCTCTAATAATAATCAAATTACTACGTATTTCATATTTTCGAATGCCGTTATATTGCAGCGTAAAGATTAACAACATTATGCAATTAAATTGCCTCGTTTAATCATACATTAATTCTATTTTATTCTACATTAATTTCACCGACCGTATATTCACCAAAAAAACAATAAAGGAAAAATAAAAAAATCGAGAAGTAACGCTTTAACGAAAAAAATAATCGCCTAAAGTTATCGAGCTCGCTTCAATTGCCAGAAATTATTGCTCCTCCAATAACTACTGCAGGGTATATAATCAAAAAACGTTAATCGTCAATTACACGTCATGGCAATCGAAATTGAAGATTTTATCGTAGCGGTATTCGAACATTTTATCGAGTAATAATTGGCGGCGTTAACGGCCGCAATGAATCGATAGAGACATTCGACAAATTTAATAAAGCGGTACCCCCGATAACTCTAGTGGCAATGATCAGGGGGGGGAGGGGGAGAGAGGTTGAAAAATGCCCGAAATTTCCCCTCCATCCGCTTATCGACATTTATGGGCCGATCGTTAAACGTCTCCCGTTCGACAATTACGCAAGTACGTGCCGGTCTACTACGAGAGCAGTTCTCCAATGCCGAAAGTCACCCCTCGATGGATCCTCGAGAGGAGGCGTCGCGCGTTTACGGCCGTCGCCGCTACTTCTAACCCCTTGGCAATGGGGGCTCGTTAAACGTATGTTCCACGGGAAGAAGATCTCACCCCTCGTTAATTATTCCAGACTGCATCCTTCCACGACGCTCACAGAGAGAGAAGGAGACACGACGAATGGAATGGAAACACAGAGGCAGAGGGTTGAAGAGGGAGAAGAGGAACGTCGAGAGGAAGGACGAAGGGAACAATGCGATCCTTTTCTCGGTCGAGCGAAGAGAAAAGACGTCGAAAACGTCTTTAAAATCCCTCCCTGGAAGCGAAGTTTTGGACGAACTATAGGAAGGATCCAGAGTTTTTACGTTCTCCAATTCGCGGGAACGCGAATTAATCGAATCGTTACGCGCTTCGATGTTATCATCGATCCTTTCGCCATCCTACCGACTATACATAAACGATATTAAAACTCGATACGATGAATTAAAACGACGTTAGCACGTCGCTCGGAATAATTCTGTTTCCGGATCCGCGAGAATAATCCGTTTCTCTCCCGCGAGATTCGAATTTGCGGGGTGAACATTTTTTTTTTTCTCCCTTCCTCTTCCCCTCTCGAAAATTCTCTTCCCGTCCGGAATTTTCGCGTTTTTATTTCGATACGAATCGAGGCCGCGTTTCACGCCAGATACGCCTCGCGAATTTATTCTGCCAACTCGAGCATCCGTGGTAACGAGCGATATGGGAAGAGGAATACAGGATGGAAAAGAGAGAAGATCCTTTTAAGTATAATATTTCTCGCACGACCATTATCTTTATCGTGTTCTCCGTTACCGGAGGAACAGATCAGTTATCATTTGGCGCCTTTTATATATATATAACCAAATGGACCAGCAACTTTTCCCTTGGGGAAAATTAAATATCTCGCGGCTCTCGCCGTCGTTTGCCCTGCGGGGTCGAATACCGTTCGTAAGTCAACGGCGGACATCTTATATAGTTTCGAAACTCGAGTTCTCGGCATCGAGATTACAGGAAGGGAGGGAGAGCAAGAATGTTACGTGCTCCACGCGTTATCGCGAAATTTCGCCCCTATTAAAGTACAACGAGGCAAGAAATCTGCGAATAAAAGGATCGTGCTTCCAGTGGCGCCACGGCTGAAACGTTCCGCAACGCGGCACCATTTTAATTACAGAAATATTTTTCCAACGGGGAGGGCGGACTGAATACAAAAGCCACCCGTCTAGTAAATATAAATATCGTTCGAGTTTCTGTAGAGAAACGTAATGCAAATTCCACTCCGACCGGAGAAGTTTCTTTGTTTTTTTCCTTTTCGTTTTCTTTTTTCCTTTTTTTTTTTTTTCCAAGTTGGAACTACAGCCGGAGTTCGGTTAGCGCGAATCTGATTGCGAATCAACGATCCTTTTAACATTCCCCGAATCTCTTACGAGCTCTCTTCAAAGTAGCTCTAATTAAATTTTCTCTTTTGCTAAAAATAAATCCTTATATCCACTTGAAAAAGTTTGCTTGCGCGACGAAAGGTTCAAAAGAGTACGTTTAAAGGATTAAAATCGGCCGTGTTTCCCTTCGACTGTTTAGAACGAATTATCGAAGGACAAAGAATACCCCGTTCGCAGTTTCTTCCACTTTCCAGCGCCTAATGCTCCAAAAAATAAACGAGATCTTTCTTCTTCTCAGATCTTCTTCTTAAATCAAAGATCAAGAAGAGGATAGAGATAATTTGCATTTCATCCTCGTGCCACGATTCAACTCATCTCTAGCTCGATTCGAGATCGACGAGGGATACGTAGGATATAAAGGAACGATATAGAGAACGATATTCCTCTGGATATCCGAGCCGTGATACCACTCGATACGTAAAACATCTCGTACGGTACGCAATTTACCGGGTGGCAAGCAGCGTGTAAGCCTTTTCACCGGATCTCTGGCCTTTTGAAGCCGTCGGGACTTGCCATTTTCTGCTCAGCCCAACCCGAAAACACGACCTCGAAACACGAGTCTTCCCTTTGAATCGTTACGCGCACCCTCCACCGCGATCTTCATTTCCTATTAATCCGCCAACCGTTCGAACCTTGAGGATTTCCCAGAGAGACCTTCTTCCTATACTACTCTCCGAATCGAGAGCGAAGAGAATCCGATTCCAAAACGGAGAAAGAATCCCGCGGAGGAGGAGAGAAAGCAGAGGACGGAGGAGAAAAGAAAAAGAAGAAAAAAGAAAGGAAAAACAGAGAGGCGCGTAGACATCAGATAAAGGGCACGTAGCGGTTTAACACAGCGGAATGGAGGGGAAAAAAGCGATGGAAAAAGTAGGGAATATGGAACGCAGCTAGGAAACTGAACGAATTTTCCTCGGGATACGGGGAATTTCCTTCGAGGTTCCACAGGAATATTTCCCTCTCGCGTCTCCCTTTCGCGCGCGACCCGCAACGTACGTGCAGCCATTCTCTAAACGACGACGAGTCGACTGTTGCGGCCTCGACACGCGGAAACCTCGAGTCGCGTCGCGTTTTTCCTGCGGTGGATGGGTGGGTGTCTCGAGTGACGAAGCGGTATCGACCTCCCTCCTTCCCTCTCACATCTCTCGAGAAAATGGAGAGTTGCCTCAACCCGATGATTTTCTCGCCCATTCACGGTAATTTCTTCGGATAAAAGGTTTTTCGCGCGTACGTACGTACGCG